ACACTTACCCTATTTACTTTATCTCAATGATTAGACTGCATCACAGCGCAACGGTACCTACCTTATTTTGCTCGGTCGAGGAATTTCTTTGTAAACTACAGGTACGGAATCGGCTCAGTGACCATGCTACCGCTGAAGCTCGGCTCAGACTCGACACGGTCTATCGTCACTGATCATCCTTAATACATTTGTTAGGTTAGGTTAGGTTAGGTTTTTAGAGATAGATAGATTTTTAATAAGATCGATTCTTAATGAGTAAACTCCAAAATATCGATCTTATTAAAAATCTATTATTTTTTCATATCCGTCGGTGGTTATGCATGTCATCTTGACGATCTAAGTAGTCTGTGGTCATTGTGTGCTTAACTTGTTCTCTTAGGCGCTTTGCAGACGGCGGAGCGGAGCGGGCCGGTCAATTTCACCGCGAATAATAGCACAAAGTGAATCCTATACTTTAAACGCACACAGAGGGCAAAAAGACCGCGCCGCAGGTGCCCGGCGGGCACTGGCGGCGCGGCATGTCCGCGGCTGCCCGCCGTGGATCATACAAACCAGTTTATATGCTGTAACGCAGACGGCGGCGCGGGGCGGCTAGCTCAGTTAGCGCCACGCGCTTTTTAGTGATGGACTATTCACGAGATTGAATGTCCTGAATTGACTGCCTCTGCCCGTCGTGTGCTTTGTGTACGCGGCGAGGGTAGCTGCAGACATCGACGTGCAGACGCGGTTTTTATTGCTTCGCGGACAGAAATCCCACCCCGCCACGTCGTCTGCAAAGCGCCTTATTAGTCTGTTGGTCTTATTGGTCATTGTGTGCTCATCTTGTTCTCATATTGGTGCTTTGTCGTGCGACCACAGATCACTATATATGTAGCAAGCTACGTGCGACTGAGTGCATGTGCCTGTTTCTTTCGTTAATTCTGTGTGTTACGTTGTTGTTAATTTTGTTGTTATTGTTTTACTCCTTTTGCTCGAAAATGAGTAAACGAGGTGTTGTTCTCGAGAGATTGTCTGCAACGTAGACAAGTACTTTGAGAGCGAGAAACAGCGCAATTTAAAATTCATGCAACAATTAAAGGCATCCTCTCAGGGCCTGAAGGAAATATAACTTTGAGTCGTGATACGTACGCTGCTATTTTGCAAACCCTGCAAAATACAAGTAAAGTAGCCAGCGAGTACATTTGGCTACGGGGATTAATAAAAATACATTAACACGCAGACCCGACTTTCACAGTGGACAATTTGGGTACTTACCCGCGATTGATAGTGGCCCCATTATCCTAATATTATGCCCAGGGCCTCCAATAGGTCAAAGACGGCACATATAAATACTACTCTTTGGACGGCACTGTTAACACGTATTCGAATATAGATACGCAGGCTAGCAGTACCAATATGACGACGCCAAAAAAGAAAGCTCGAGGCAAATCTGTCGTTTGTGATAGTTTTGAAATTGCTGTACTGCATAACATTATAAATTCTATATACAATGTGAGAAAAGAAATTCCAACTCTAAATAAAATTTTCGCAACCGCAAAAGAGGACTTAGATTTTCCAGGTAGCAAAGCTACATTGACGGATATTGGTGGAGTCACTTGGTTTCAAATTTAAAAAGTGTCAGAGCAATAGGTTGGCTCTTGTACAAAGACTCAACATTAAAGCCTGGCGGCGTGCTGAATATTTGCGACGCATTCGTCAAAATGATGCACTGGGGGCTGATGAAAAACCAGTCGTATATTTGGACGAGACCTGGATTCATACTCATATTCATCATACTCACTATACAGTGAAGAAATGTTGGCAGGCAAGCACTATAACCGGCGTCAAAAAAATGATAGCGCAGGACGTCGGTGGATTATCACTCACGCTGGGGGTGAAAATGCATTAGTTGAAGGAGCACTTCTTATGTTTAAGTCAAAATTAAAATCCGGAGATTATCATGATGACTTGAATGGTGCCAACTTTTCAAAATCAATCTCCCGCAAAACGCAATTATCGTCATGGATAACGCTCCTTACCACAGCATGGAAGCATCTAAGCTTCCAAATATGGCCACTACGAAAGCAGAAATGCAGTCATGGTTAAGAATATGGAATACGAAGAATGCTTCACAAAAGCAAAGCTTTATGAATTAATAAAGAGGCACAAACCGCCCAAAAATTAGAGAGTTGACAACATTTTCAACTTACATGGTTTTGAAGTTTTGAGGTTGCCACCCTACAATTGTGACCTTTACCCAATTGAATACATTTGGCACTTAATTAAGCGTAGGGTGGCAGACAAAAAGTTAGACAATTATTGGAAACTGAAATAGAAAGATTGACGTTAGAAACAATTGCTTCTATTACGAGTGACGATTGGAAGAAGGAAATAAACCATGTAAAACGTTTAGAAAATGTGTACTATCCAAAGGAAATATTAGAAAAGGATGATTACTTTAGGTTTATTATAAATACGGGTAAGAAAATGACCATTTTTAAATAAATAAAGTTGTCGTTTTAAGACCTACAATAATCCTTATTTTATTTTATAGCCGAGAGCATTGCTGATGACGGCTATGACTACTCCGGTGGTTATGCAGAGCTGAGCGGAATTGAAGAGCTAGATTCCGATTAATATTTTTACTTAATCTTAATAGTCTTAATAAATAAATGTTATTAAAAATCGGTTGTTTTTTTTCTCAGTCTTAATAAATAAATTTTGTTAAAAAATCTGATGTTTTTTCTCACTTAATCTTAGTAAATGAGTTTTATCGAAGAAAAACTTTTTTGCTCACCCTACCTATTTCGTTTCAACTGACAGCTATGCCATCACAAAATGGCGCCCATTCGATACTATTATTAGTTGAATCGCATTATACTGTTCTGAGATATATCTTAAAATCTAGCTAATATATTATTATCACCGTCGTCGTTCATTATTGTATAAAATTTATGTCTTTTTTTAACGAAATAAACCCATATCCATCAAGTTCAAAACTTAAGAACAGTAATCATTTACGTGATATTTGGCCCCAATTAATCACATTTAAATTTAGAGAGGACCTCCGTAGGTCCTTCTTAAATTTAGTGTGACATTTCTAATTTTAGAGAAAATATGACATTTAGAATGCGTGTCAGAATACCATTTAATCATCTAAATCTAAGTTGAATAACTTAGCGACGTCAATTTTAAATTTATAGATTGCGTCATTACAGAATACCAAATTGAATTTCACAACTCTATATCTAATTTTAATTAGTTTTAGATATAAGTTGGCACGCCAGAATATGGCCCAACAATATATTATTTAATATTCAACAAAATACCAAAGCATTTTAAACTAAACTCTGTGCAGGGCGGGTTGTCAAACACCTGTCACATGCCAAGATATCCGTTTTAAAAATTTTTGAAGAAATTATGAAGTATTAATTTAAATTATTCTGTAGTAAGAGTTTAATATAGAAAAACATACACATAAAATACACTGTAAAAGTATTTGAAACCCATAAAAAACAGGGTTGAACAAATATTCTTGACAAGTGGCAGAGTGTAAAATAGGGATGATCGATATTAGAAAAACATCGATGTTGACATCGATATTAACATCGAATCAAAAGTATCGATGTACGATATCGATAGAAAAACATCGATATGGCGTAAACATCGATGTTTTTGGAAAAAAATAAAACTGCCTATTATATTTATGAGATGTAATTTTTTTATTGGATTCTAAAGTAGATTATATTCCGATAAAACATGCAATAAAATATTCTGCAAAAATAAAATATTCTCCCCCCACGGCTCTGATGACAGGCCTTTTTTAAGCGCTCCATTTTTAATAATGAGAGCGAACGTAGGTAGATGTATGTGTGTGTAATTGAAGTTCTCTTGAGAAATGAAAACAAAGTCGTATTTATTTTATGCTCTTGAGAAATGAAAATAAATTCGTACATAGGACTTTGGGCTTACTCCGATTATTTGGTCAGTATCATCTAGTGGAAAATATGTAGTTGTAACTTGATAGTCATCTGCTAATGACTATGCAACATTTAGTAGAAGCTAGTACACCTAATGCACGCTAGACAGCGCCCAAACGAATAATTGACGTTTCGATATTTTATTCTAGTAACATCGATGTTTCGATGATATTGAAGTCAACCCATCGATGTTAAAACATCGATGTTTTCCAGTTTAACATCGATGTTTATTTAACATCGATGAATATCGAGCATCCCTAGTGTAAAATGGAACGTAGCAAACACTGGATGGCTGAAATCGGAAACTGTAACTTACACATACCGTAAACATATTGAAATAATAAACAATCTTTTTTTCCTGCGTTTCTTTTACCACGTTGATTATTGTAATAAACTTATAATTAAATTAGCTTTATTTTGATGTATATGACATCTCTATACATGATCAGGTCAAAAATGGGCATTGTTCTTTCTACAGCAATCTCCTGCTTTTATGAATTGTAATCGATATATTAAGGTTCCTTAGACCAAATACTATAAGAAAAAAAATGGTTGCCTGTAAAGTCGGTTTTACGGGCGAAGATTTTACGTGACAACGTCTTTTTCTCGGTAGAATATTTATTGATATGAATATAATTAAATTGCACAATAGGAACAAGGAATTGAATGAAAATAAGAATTGCACAAATTTTAACTATAGAAATATATTTTGTTTACTAAAACATTGTACATGTAAACTTAAACTTAACACGAGAGACTCATCGTAACGTTACCGAGCGTTACACTTTTTCATAAGTGACTCCCAGCCGCAACCTAATTTAAGACGTTGTCACGTCAATAAACATTTATTTAATATAATTCGACGTGAGTCAACTAGCCTATTAGTAGCATAAAATACTGTTGTTGATATTTTGCCAAAAAATATCCCGATTTCTCCCGATTCATACAAGGAAAATTACCCGATTTTTAAATTTTCGCTTTTGCAACACTGGGGCAGGATCAGAAGAAATCTACATACGAGATTTTTAGCTGCAAGCACGAGGAAAATAAAAAACTAAGTTTGGCAACCCTGCTAACCAGACTATTTTATGAAGTTCTATTTGAGCTCTAATTAAAATAATATTAATTTTATCCTCATGACTTGACTCTATCCTAATTTACAATGATTTGTTATATTGTTCGAACAGTTGTATTATTGATATTATGTATTGGAGGTGAGTGAGTAATAGCAAATCTTTCCCTAAAAATAACCGGTCAGTGGTAACGCCCAAACAATGTATCCCTTCTTGTAAATAAAACCAGTTGTTGTCTAGTTTCAGAAATATCTGCCGAGTGCACAATACCTGTGGTTTTGAGAAATACTTGGTTTTCATACGAGAATGGGAAACAGACCATTACGGATATCAATGCTAGTGATATGACGGGAAGGTAAATAATCATATTCAAACCAAGTTTGGTAGGTGTTTACAATAATTTTAAAAGTTAAAACTATTTCTCAACAGGGGGCGATGTGTAAATATAAAAGCTGATTTCCATGTCAATTACACAATGGTATTCCAGTACACAAATTGCTATTATTGTGTTAAACTTATTGTGCGGACTGTTAATGTATTGGAGAAAATTGAATCTCCTTGTGTTGACCTTGCACCTCATGAGGAGCCAACAGTTGAAAGAGTATGTAAAGGATTAAACCCTGACCAAGAACTTATCACCTTATTCTCCGAAAATTATGTACCGGTAAGTGTATTTTTTTTTCATTTGTATGTAAAAATGAATACTACTAAAGTTTTAGTATTTAGTTTTATGGTTTTTCTTGGAATTCTTTGGGATAATGCTATAATATAAATCTATGATTGGTTTTATATAATTATGTTCTTTGTTCTATTTTTACCCGACTGCGCAATGCAAGAGCGCGAAGCGCAGACAGGGTATAGTGTTTAACAGTCTATATATGTATGTTTGTTCCTTTGTGGCACACTAGAGACGCCTGGACCGATTTTGATGATTCATACATCAATCGATTCGTCTCAATCATGGGAGTGCTACTAAAGATATGATAGTAATCACAATTCAATATGGACAAAATTAGGCGCCAAATTGTGCCGAAGTAAAAAAAATAAGTTTACAAAATATGTCGAGTGGGGTATCACTGTCTAGATAATCGAAAATCATGTTTAGGTTTCTAACACCATTTTTCATTTTATATGTTTGTTTAGGATCGACAATGCTTTAAAGTTCTATATTAACCACTTACGCTTTTAATTTCAATCTTACGTTTGTATAGATCTTTGTTACTCTTTCACCTAAAAAATACTGAATGGATTTTAATGTAACTTAACAGTAATATAGCTTATATATGATAATAACATATATATAATAATTTATGTAGTTATTGAGTGAATTGGCCAAAATATAACAATAAGTGTCACATAAGACGGAAAAAAATCTCCAATCTGCGAGCCATTTTGGCCTGCACTGCAAAAACAATAAAAGTTACATAAATGTAAAATAGAGTGAAAATGTATCTCTTAAATAGTTCTAAAAAAAAGTCCATGACACCATATATCGTATGTGTAAGCCATTACCGCTAAAATAGTGAATCAAAACTAAAATAGTATTTGATATATATTTCTAAAATGCACATTTTGTATTAACAAATTATTTTTTATCAAAACAAATACTTTTATCGCTTTTGATATTTAAAGGCAATAAACTTTGCCTTTTACACTATGTCATTTCGACAAATATTTAAAAAGTTACAAAGATGACAAAGTGATAGCGCGGTGTACTATGTAGGAGTAGAAAATGTAAATGAATTTTATATTTACTACTGAACTACTAAAAAGAACATAAACAAAAGATGACTTTTTGAATAAGTGCTAGTTTACTATAAAATTTACATACATTAGATATTTATGTAACGACTTGATTTAACTTCACACATTTTTGCGAAAATTGAGGCCCATCTGTAGCCTTGACCCCACTGGTAAAGTCTCTATGTCTTAATAAATCAATTTTTTAGACCACCGCAAGGTACTTAATAATTCCCGCGATATTAATTCCCTGACTGAAGTAACAAGACTATGGTATATACCGTCTTAAAATACTAACTAAAAAGTGTGAAATAAAAAAGGTAAATTTAAAAAATCATAAACCAAACTGCTTAATTATACTTCAAATAAAAACTGAAAAGAAAAAAACAAGTCCAGTAGTCTATAATTCTGTTAATAAGGAACAAAGCTTCTTTAACAGTCCGGACCCATTATTGAAAAATATTATGTATTCTTGAATAATATCTAATGGGTCCCGACTGTTAAAGTAGCTTTGTTCCTTATTAACAGAATTATAGACTACTGGACTTGTTTTTTTCTTTTCAGTTTTTATTTGAAGTATAATTAAGCAGTCGGGTTTTTGTAGCATTTACCTGCTACATTTTTAAAACTGAAAGACGAGTAGAAACAATTAAGAAGTTATCGTTCGTTAAGAATTTCGAAGTGTAATACTAACTATCGACAGTATTCATTTTTCAGCAGGGCTGGTGCATTGCTAAACGACTTCGCCAATGAATATTCTTCAATCGACATATTTAATTTGAAACCTGCAGCTATCAGGCGGTTGATGACTGATAATTTTTTTTTGTGAATTTTTGAATTTCAGTTTCTTTTTGTCTAAATTTTTCTCAACTTGTAAAATTTTATTTCCAATCTCTAAAAATTCTTCATATTTATAAGTGAAAACTTGTTAATGGCTTAAAGTTGTTAAATTTTTTAAAGCAAATTTTGTATGTATAGCTGTAAGTTTTCCCATTCAAATAAATAAATAAAAATAAATAAATAAATTTTCTTGTAAACTTTTTTGATGTGGATGATGAAATACCAGATTTCTATATTTTCCTACGACATAATATGAGAATTAGTAGTACTAACACAAACAGCAACACTTTTGAAATAACAACATGAAGATTAATAAATATATACTAGAACAACTTTTGTAGCTCTATTATAAGTCTAGTTAAAGTTTAATTTTGGTTTTAGGTTAACTGCAGATCTTCTTTAGAGGGAGTATGGCACTTTGCTTATCAGCAAACGTTTCGGTTTACTGGTGAATGCAATCATCCAGATAATCAGATTAAATCATGCCAGACTGCTGGAACACAGTTTCTAATAACAAATCAGAAATTTAATATTACATACCGAAAATGTCCAGGAATGTCAGAGACATTTGATGGTGTCGTAGAGTATAGTTGTCTAGGTTAGTTAAAAATAAAATCATTGATTGAACTTTGGTTTAATTAGTATTTTTTTAAATACTGAAAAAAAAATGTCAACAGGTCATTGGTTTGTGGACAAAAACCACTTCTTTGCTGTGGCAAACACAAAGGAATCTCGTAAGGATGAAAAGTACCGTTGTTTCCTTAAGAACAGAGATGATGATTTGTTCATTGGGGCATCCATTACAGCACAATGTAACACCCTGAAAACTGTTGAGAAATCACCAGAAAGATACAAAATCACTCCCGTTAAGGTAAATATTGTTTATTTTTAATTACTCAACATCATAATTTATCCTGAAATATATATTTTTAATATTGTTTTATACAGGCTGAAGTTGTTGAACCTGGCTGTAGACTCCCTCAAAATTTTTCTGGAGAATGGATTAATACTGCAAATATTGATGCTGATGTGTTTATTAATGAAACACACATTATCGAAACATATTATCCAGATGAAAGCAGATATAGAAAAATCATATATGTTTGCAAGTAAGGTTTCTATTTTAGTTACTTTTGTCTTGGCATAATAATAAAACTTGAGAGTGTGAAATAGGACATGAGATTGTGTAGGAAATCAATTATTATATTATGTATATAGACAAATTTGCAGGCACCCACTAGTCTCTAAGTGTCATATTAAAATAATTAAAAAAAGATTAAGTGGGAGAAACAAAAATTGTGTTTTATAGCAATATGGATAGGTTGAAATAAAATTAAAAAAGTACTTGGGCGCCAGATCTACCTCGCCGGATGGGCATTGCACTATTAATCGCAAGGGGGTTGAAGCAAAATCCATACTCACATTGGGTTGTCTATACTCTATCTCATTAAAATTTCTAACTATTTGATTTAGAAGCTAGGACTAATTATAATCATCTTATCTCTGATCTTTCAAAAGGCAAGCAAAGGAATCAGTCTAGATAAAGCCTTGTTAAGCCACAGAAAATGAAAACAATCTATGGTAACGGAGAATGAGTGAGACACAACCTAAACAGAGGCCTTCTATCTCCCTCTTCAATAAAAAAAAAACTCTTGTGACGTTTTTAACATGTTACATAAGGTTATAATTAGTGAGTCAGCTAAAACAAATGTTCAAATATTTTATCAATTTCCAGAGAACAAAGGGATACCAGAGTAATGATGTCTCGACTTACTGTTGATGGTTGTCAAAAAGATTACATCTGTTTTGATTTTGTACCACAACATCACAATGTTATAAGGTATATCCCAATATCTGTGTATTGTTGGAAATTTACTATTTTTAAATTATTTATACATGTATGAATTATTATGATCAATAAACATTAAATTTTATGTTTCAGATATCGTAAAGGTCTTGCAATGATCCAGAGTAATTTTCATACAGTTTGCTCCTGGGTTCAGTTTCCTAATAAAAAGAAATGGCGTTATGACATATTTTTAAAGAAGGATCCATCACCCATTCGGTGCCCAGTTGCTGGCAAATTTAATTTTACTCAAAGGGGAGACGTGAGGTTTGAAACTAGGATTCTTGGTGGAGTCACACTGAGTCCACGCCCCAACCTATATTGTAAACTGAATATTAGTGATTTCTCTGTATGTGATACAGATCAAAAAACCGTACAAATTAAAGAAAACTACTGTTTGTCAGTGGATTATTTAGGAAGGCCAGTCGACATTTACAGTGATCCTGATTATCGAATGAAATGCATTGGTTATTGGAAGGAGAACCTGAAATCATACCTCATTACTTATGATGAACTGGATCCATATTCAAAATATAGATGTTGGGTATATCAAAGAGCAGATTTGAATAGGTAAATTATTTTTTCTATTATGTTCAAAAATTTATTCAGAAAGTATCTGCCAAAAACAATTAAAATAGGACTGCATGTCAGAAGGCAAACATCAAGGAAGTAATAATCCTAACGGTAACAGGAATATTCACTTGCATATTTGTGAAAAAGTAATATGAACCTTAACAAAAGTACATAGATCTAACAGAAAGTTAGACTAAAAAAAAAACTGCTGTTTAATTATTGTAGTAATTAAAACTAAATTATTGTCTCGACTTGCTGATATTGTCCGTATTAATGTGTTTTTTAGAAAATAATAATTGTGAGGTGGTGGCAGAATACCAGCGACAAGTCAAAACTTGACTGTCACATGCTGAGCCACATACCTTTTTGTTTCAATTTTTTACTGTCATTCTATTTGTGTATTGTACCAATTGTATGTTGAAACAAATAAATAATTTATTATTATTATTATTATTATTTAAAAGAAAGGAAAAATGGCCTCAAAAGAGACTGAGCTTGGTTAAAAATGATAATGAATAGCCTTATTACAATTATTTTATTATTTTCAGGATTTTAATGTCACAAGCATTGGGACCATACTGTGATTTGAACCAGGACGTCACATCATGGAACTACACCGAAGGTGCTGCAGTTGCAATCGAAATGGAAGAATATGAAAGGGAGCGTGACCAGTGTCCAATGCACTTCGACGACGGCAGCAATCCCTGGACACTGGAGGAGAATTTCATTAAAGTTTTCACATTTTCTTACTCTTTCTGGAGAGGGAACAATGGAGTCATGTTAGGCACTAGCTTCGTTGTAGTTCTACTAACACTACTGACTTCTCTGTTTCTATAATTTATATGTAGTATGTGCAGACTGATAAATTAACTGATTTTCTTTGTTTTTCTAAGAATTTATCTCATGACTTATAATTTTTCTTATGAAATTCTGAAAAGCAACATTTCTCAGTACTTGCATGTAAGTACTTAATTTATATAAAAAAATGTATTTAGATTCACTATTATATCTAAGTACTAAAAGAAGCAGCTATAAACAAGTCATTTTTTGAAATAAGATTAAAATATTCATGACGTATTTGTATACTGTGTTTGAGTGTGGCAGGGAATGGCTTTTTAGGATTATGAAATACAATAAAGATACTGAAACTGACTGATCTGTAGGCCTATTTGCTAATGGTTTTGATGAAATGATATTCGGCAAGCTCTTTACTGATCCACTACTGCTTTATTTTTCATTTAACTCCACTAAAATATTTGTACTGAAAAGCATCAACAGATATCCAATTTTATTCTTAGTTAAATCACTGTAAATGTAAAAAAATAATAATGAATCAGTCTACTGATAGACATAGAATTTGAATCAAGTGATGTGCCTTACAAAGTGCTTATACAGCTGTAGTTAATATGTACCAGTAAGAATTAAGAACTTTAGTTAAATTTAGTAGTTAATGTAAGTAAAGAGTTATGAATGATGTTCAATTTTGTCTTTTGATATTTCTTTTAAGAAAATATAATCTCTTCTTTCTTTGTGTCATTTGTACACATTGACAATTCCAACCAAATTAATTTTAATTTTTACTTGATATTTTACCTTTATTTTATACACTTTATTTTTTATAATTTTATGTGATCCATTATGATTAAATAAAACCATAAAGTCTGTATGATCTTTTTATTTAAATCACACACACACACACATTTTTAAGTGTGATTTTTCCTAAATTAATCTCTTAAAATAATATACATAATTAATAAGATTAAAATAAGATGATGTTGCAATTAAACAACAAAGTCATTAAGGGTCTACTCTGCTTGCATTGTATTATCTACATTTGTTAAATATTAAAAACTTAATTATTGGTAGAAACAAAAATTATCTCTTATTTTGTTATTTATTAATAACACTGCATTGCAACAAACAATTTAAAATTAAGAAATATAAAGACCACTTATTTTGTCCAAGATACTTTAGGAATATCAAAGTGTTCTGTTAGACTGTCCAAATGTTGGTTGAACTTTTCAACTCTCTGTTTATGAGTCATCTCAGCTTTATGAAGAATTCTCTGCTTTTGCTGTAATAAAAATAACAATTTTATGCTATGATTACAATGCAGTAAAATATATTTAAATTGATAATAAAAATCAACAAGATTTAGATATTGCATCTTAGAATAATAATCTTGCATAACAAAAGTAATTTAAAACAAATTAGGTAAGTAAGTGCATTATCTTACCATTTTCTCTTGCATTTTTTGAAAGGCTTTCTCAGCTTTAGTTTTCTGATCTGTCGGGGGTTGCTGTTTGATTTGTTGCTTTACTTCAGCTTCGATTATCTTCTCAGTTTCTTTGTTAGCCTTCTTCTTCTTCTTTTTCTTTTTGATTCCAGAATTATCTTTGATTTTTAATTGTGCTCTGTTGGCACATGCATATTCGTCATCATCAGCCATAATAGAATAAAACACTTTTGCTGTAGTTTCTTATTTTTATAGCTGTTGTAAATTTATTTTAACATTAATTCCAGTGATATAAATCTATGTTCACAGTCACAATACAAAGTTTATTTCAATTTCCTGCTTGAACAACACAGTTTTAAAATAAATCTGTCATTGTCAAAATGATTTTTTTTTTATATCTTTTTTCCCATCTTGGGAAAGGCAAAGGCAGAGCCATGCAGCCATAGTCTTCATTTAAAGGATTTTTTTTTGTTTCTTTTTTCTATAAGGCCGAAGCCACTTCTTTAATCATAAGATATTTGTCCTAAATAGTCTTTCTAATCCATTTTCAGTTTAGGTACTTATTGTTTCCCCCAAATTTTCAAATCCGATTTTGAATCTTCTTTCTTTCAATGTTATTTGTTTAAAGTCATGAAATTTTTTAAAGTTCCATATCTATGGAAACTAAAAAAATATATAGATATTTGTATGATTTTGGATTCATAACAATGTCTTGAATGTCGCGCGGGATTTCATTATTAGTTTTATATAATTTAATTAAATTGTCAGCTAAAACAAGTCTTTGTATATTATATGCTGTACATTCAAAAAATATATGGTTTAGTGTTTGATCTTTATTTATATTACAGTTTGTGCATAACGGAGATGTAATTATATTCATTCTATATAAATGTGAATTAAAACGTCCATGTCCAATTCTCAAGCGTGTGATGGTCGTATAAAATTTCCGACTATGGTATTCTTTAGATTTTGTAAACCATGGATGTTGACCAATTACATTATTAATTTTATGATACCATTGTCAAAATGACAATGACAGTCAGTGACAGTGGTTGTTATTTTTTTTTGGTTAAGTTCTCCCTATTCAGGGAAGGCAAGGGGAACAATGCCCATACAGCCTAGTCTTAAGTTAAATTATTCTGTTTTTCTTTTTACATTAGAATGTCGGTGTGCCGCATTCTAATGTTTCTTGAAGTGTTTGGCGCGAAATGTATCGAGCTGGCTTTTTCGATAAGCTTCTGTGAGGTAGTTAATACTACAATAAAATTCTCACGTCCACTTGACCGGAATAGCGTATATTTTGACAATTCTACTAATTCTTCAGTTACGCAGACAGTTGTAACACAAAATCACACCAATTTTATTTCACAATATCCACTATGAACGAATTTAAGAATAATTAAAATAAGACGCCAACCATACTAGATGAAATCCCGCCAAAAACTCCTTTTTTTTTTGGTTAATTGTTGTTTTTTATTATATTTTCCCTTTTTGGGAAAAGCAAAGGCAAAGACATGCAGCCATCGTCTTTATTTTTTTCATTTCCTTTTTTTTCTACATTAGATTGTCAGTGTGATGCGTTTTAATATTTTTTGGAGTGTTTGGCACAAAATTGATTGAGTCAGCTTTATCGATAAGCAATCTGTGAGGTAGTCAACACTACAATAAAGTTCTCACGTCTTCTTGATCGGAATAGTGAATATGTATTCCGAAGATTCCACTAATTCATCAATTGCGCAGACTATTTTAACACAAAATTTCACCAATTTTATTTCACAATATCCACTATGAACAAACTATACTATAATTAAAACATTACGCAAACCGCACTCGATGAAATCGCGATAAAATCCCAGTGGTTGCTGTTTTTGTAATGCTCTCTCAAAGAAGCGCCGGTGCTGGGGCATTTTTGCGCATTCTCCCTAAAAGAGTCAGTATTCTTGTTTAAAACACTGGAAGTTTTGTTTTTAAAAGGACAATAGATAGAAAAAATATTTATAAAATTATAACAACTCGACTGCCATGATAAAAAACTAAGTATATTTAGATTGAGGAGGTCGATGGCACCAGTGGTTAGCGCGTTCGGCTGCGATTGTTGAAGTTAAGAAATTTTCGCAGTGGTCGGTTATTGGATGGGTGACTAAAAATATAATCTCTGGAGCTCCTTCGTGCTTCGAAAGGCACGTTGAACGGTTGGTTCCGGCTTCATCTACAGTCGTTAGCACCCACCAACCCGCACTAGGCCCGCGTGGTGGGTCATGGCCCAATCTTCCTATTCCATCCATATAGAAGGATTGTGCCCCATCAGTGGGGACGTTTATAGGCTGACGATGATGATGGTATTCAAATTCAAAACGTCATTGCAGCCGGGGATCCTGCACCGTCTGTAAGTCCCATAACGTAGCATCTTCTCGTTGAAGTTACCAATTATTTAGGCAACCGGACTTGGTTGCATGGAACACAGAAGACTCTTAGGATACAAACTATTAGAATAATATCCCAAGCCCACCAGAAGTTACTTATTTTTTGATGAACAAAATATGGATAATCGACCAGTGTTAGTGTGTACATTGAACGTTTACATACAGTTTGTCTATAAAGTCGTGACATGAATGTTTGAGGAACTAACATTATTCATGTGTCTGGCAACACCAAACTTATGTACATCATCTGTCATCGATTTTCAGTTGGGGGAGTTTTCCTTTTGTATTTTTTATTGTTTGGATTAAACTGTAATAAATTAAGACGAAACTACACAGAAACGTACAAAAATGAGTAAAGTAAATCGGAGTGGCACGCGGGAAGAGATTTTTAAAGTTTTCCAGTGATGTTTCGAAGACTACCAAGCTGGACGAATTTTGTGGGATTTGGATGATGTTTATGGGCGAACAGCATCTATGACGGGTATGTAATCGTGTAACTATTTGTTTGTAATCTGCCTGAAGTTACAAATTTACTCAATTTACGATTTTTAGACCAAAAAAGGCATTGTTTACATTGCACATTTTTAGGTTAGATTGACATTGTAAATAGGTAATATTGTAGTACGACCTTTTCTTTTGATACGTTATTATTATGGTTCAACTCGGTCAGGTTTTTTACCAATTTTGAATTAATTGCTTCATGTCAATAAGTTATTGTTTCTATTCCGTTACATATTTTTTTACCTTTTTTCAGGAAAATCAGAGAGTCGGATAGTCAACGAAGGTTTTAAGAATGATGGAAAGATTGAAACTCCTGGGAAAACAGGCAAGGCCGACCAAAGAAAGAAATGGTCACATAAAGAACCATGGCCAGATGCTTTTAGTGAAGATACCTAATAAGTAATCTCTAATTTTACTAACTGCACATTTACAAATTGTTTCTCTAAATAAACTTTTTATATTCTATAAAATGATTTTTAGTATTATTTTCTTAACAAGTGTGTTAAAAATGTTGTATGATGATACTTGTGTGTATTGACGATTACCTAACGGCTCTGGTCTCAATGGCACCTCAGCGGTAATCACCAACATTACACACTTTTACACTATAAAGTACTATTTTATCTATAATAATTTTATTCTGATCCGATTAAATATGCTTGGCTAAACTTTTTATAAGCATAGGTACCTACTATATATAAAACAAAAACAAAATACGACTGTATAGTGTGTCCTATTAATTACATATTTTACTTGAATGAACTGATAGTATCAAATTATTTTGGTCCGCCTGTATAGGGTTGCTACTTGCTACATGCATACTAGTGGCGCCACCATTTAATGTCACGAATTTATAGACAAACTGTACTCGGTAACTTGTACTGTGGGCCAAAAACTGGACGGCTCTATACATAATAATCAAACAAATCTTCAATAGTTTTCAATCTATTAGTGTCGCCGCACACGGGCCACCGACCACAACCACAAAACGCCACCACCGGTATATTTCTTGTAGTTTTCATACATTTTATAGGGACTCAACACACAGGGTACGCTGGTGGCCGCCACACGCTACAAATTGTCTTTGCTCGCTTCTTGTGGCCCGCACCGGCCACTTAATACGCCGTTACAAAACGCCGCCACACGTCACTTGCGCGATTCCCCACCTCTCTCTCCTTTACCTTAGTCGGCCGCTGTCGCGCGCTTCAGCCACTTTAGTAGCCGCTTCTAGCTTCTCACGTGGCGCCGTTTGTGGCTGTGGCTTGTGGCCAGTGTGCGGCGACACTTAAATAAATAAAAAAAAAATGGTTGCCTGTAAAGTCGGTTTTACGGGCGAAGATTTTACGTGACAACGTCTTTTTCTCGGTAGAATATTTATTGATATGAATATAATTAAATTGCACAATAGGAACAAGGAATTGAATGAAAATAAGAATTGCACAAATTTTAACTATAGAAATATATTTTGTTTACTAAAACATTGTACATGTAAACTTAAACTTAACACGAGAGACTCATCGTAACGTTACCGAGCGTTACACTTTTTCATAAGTGACTCCCAGCCGCAACCTAATTTAAGACGTTGTCACGTCAAAAACGAACACACCAATTAGCCTATCACTAAAAGTAAGCACTGTCGGCTTGTGTTATGAGATACTAGGGTAACGGATAGAATACATAAGTGATACATATATAAGTATATTTATATAGAAATATCGAAACTCAGCGTACAAACCGCTCGGCCACGGAGGTCGCTAATGATATTATAGAACCCCATTCAACAAAGCAGTCTAAGTTAACAGTATCTATTTTTTAATTATAATACCACAGCCGTGTCGGTTCTGGCATAATTCTTTAAATTTAAAATTAAATTTAACATCAGTCTCTCCTTTTCATTCTGTATAGAGAGAGAATGACAAAGATGCACTATTGTCCAATATTTAATTTTAGATTTATAGTGATCGTGCCAGGACGATACCATTGACACTTTTATACAAACTTACATATATCTTTAAAGTGGATATCGAAAGAGCTAATAAAGTTCAGACCTTCAACCTCCAACCTAGGTTCTTGAGGCTTTTCTATACATTAATAATTGAGTCATTTGCCCTGAATTTCAAAGTAACATTATCTTTAGCCCTGATGATGTTTGAATTATTTTCATAAAGATAGTGAAGTAAGTTAGCTGTACATTTATTTATTCGCGAGGGTGGCAGGTTGACTGGCAAATATCATAAATAAATAGCGATTGTTCGCGACAAAAGAGGCTGAATAAATGGCTTTCCTTAC